AGGGTTCTTTGAGGAGTGTATCTGTGCAGCAGAAATTGAGGCAAAGCTCCCAGCCATAATGAAGAATGCAGTATACCTTCACAAAGCTGCTGCGCGCAGAATTAAGAGCTGCCGAATCCAGAGGCGAGCTTCGAAGCGTCACTGGTGTAAGTTATATCATGAAATAATCATCATAGCATAATGACGCACCAAAAAACATGCTTCTCAAGTCCCTACTCTCAAGTACTTTTGGTAAGTAGGTACTTTTAGAAAGTTTTCTTTCTAAAGTGTTCAAAAATCCGATGCCATTTTATCAAGTTTCTACTTGTATTACGGTTGCAGACTGTTAAATAATAGTAATTATTTTAGGTTTTGCCATAGAGGCTGAGAAATTGTTTAGTTAATATCTTTTTTCAGAGCCCTAGTTACCAGTCCAAAAACCCAAGATCTCTGCCTAATACTATTTATAAAAAATTAAGAAAAGCAACACATGTGACAAATGATTAAAGCAATACATTTCTGAAATGTCGTTGTCCCAAATGGAGCACTCCATGGACTGAGTTCCACATTTCATTGTCTCGCTACAGTGAAACACTCCAAGTCGTTCGCTGTAGCCAACGTTGACGGCAGCAGCATCGAGGAGCTGAGGGAGACCGCCCAACGCCTGACCTCGGACAGCAGCTTCAGAGAGAGCGTGTACAAGATCATGGCTCGCAAGGACGCCACAAACATAACAGACGTCTGAGAGGAGATAGAGCGAGGTAAAAGAAGAGAAACGGTCCTTAACTTCACCTCAGTCTCAGAGTCACCCAGAGTTGCTGTTACCAAACCCATCATTAAGACGCTGTAAATGAATGTGCACAGAAATCTGTGTTATTTGAAACCATGACAAAGTTTTAGTTGATCAGTCAAAATTTAAAAGATTAAATATAAGAGCACTTTTTCTGTTCTCTCATGGTCTGATGGCTTTGTTGTCTTTTTGACTCAACAGTTCTAGGAATGTTAGGGCCAGTGGAGTTAAACTGGGAACTAAATTTCTACAGCAGGGAAAACTGTGAAGATTAGGCAAATAAGAGCGACTGTGGAGCCTAAGGCGCCTAGGTGAAAAACAAGACTCCAAAGCAGCTCTTGACTTTTGCTGTATAGAGCTGTGGGGATTTATTTTAGAGTAGAACTTTTAATTTTTTCATTAACATAAATTATGTCTTTTGTTGACCAGAAGGAACTAATCACATAAGCTAAACTAAGAATGCCACGTTACCTACTCCTTTTCAGGTTTACTGTTATTTATTTTTAGCATAACCTTTAAGAAAGCATTAATAATAACCCTATTTAATTATTGTCTGAAATTTCTATTTATTAGGGTGTTGTTGATTGTATCAGTTTATTTACTATATAGTGCTGTCAGAAAAGAGTCATAGTCACTCATGGTCACTAGTTTCTTTAAACA